TAACTTCCGCATATGTTTCTTTGCGGTAAACGGATGTTTGTAATGTTCCGTCGGTATTTCGCTGCAGGAGAACATCCAGAAATGGGGAGTTTGTTGTTAACCTCTTTCCCGAGAGTGAAATGAATGCCCGGGATAGTTGAGTTGATGGAATTGTGGAGCGCTTCGAGTCGCTCCTTTTTAACGACAACAGATGTGTCGTCTACATATCGTACCCATAACTTAGGGTTAATCGACGGAAGGGCCGTTGATTCTAGTTTCTACATCGTTATTTCGGCAAGGAATCCAGATATGGGTCACCCCATTGGAGCATCCGCGAACACCAATCGGCCGTGAATAGACATGATCGTGTTTCCGAAGTGGCCATGCATTGCCTCGACACAGGACACACCTTTTCATGGGATAAAACACGCACCGTCGGAGTTCGCCACTCCAAAATGGCCGAGAATTCCTCGACGACGATCCATGCATCAACCGGCACGTCGAGTTGGATGGTATTAATAAACACATCAAAGAAAGATTGAAAATACAGAGATCGCAGGACAGAAACTAACTGAGACCAAACCTACCAATCATATCTCACTTTGTAAAACTATTGATTTTTTCGATGGTTTTGAAATTTTAGTTGTTCCTTGCACTTTTCTTGTTAGTCTTGTTAGTCCAAAGACGAGTTGGGGTGCTAAACTTGAAAATTCCTTCATTAAAGTTATTTTATCCCAAAGGAACATCTTTTTCAAATGATACTTGTAAACATGTTTACCTTTTTGACATGATAAAATTATAATAAGCACCAATTTAACAATTATGTAAATTGTGTATACATCTTTTTGGGACACCCTGTATATTGATGTTATTCTGGAGACTTACTTACTTCAAGGGTGGTTTTGAGAAGGTCACATTTTACATCAAGCATTTATTTGGAGGGCACCCCGACAGGGCACCCCGACACGTCTTCGGCTTAGAAAGCAGAAGACGTGTCGGGGTGTCATCTACACAGTATTAAAACGTTTCTCTGTCCTTCTTGCCTTGTATTGAACCTGGGTACAGGTGAGGGACTGGGGGAAGAGTGGGGTGGATTCTGTACGAGTATACTTTCACTATAATCCAGCGCAATCCCCGTGTTTGCCTGAAGCTTGCAGTGTTCCTGATGGACGGATGCGAAATCGACGGTCGACGATAGTCACGAAGTTAACCTTCTGTTGAATACTCCAAGTTATCTTGTGATATTTTCAGCAATTATTCCCTTTTCTTGGTAAAGAAACCTCCAATAATGCCGGTTGGTTTACCAGAGTCGCTTCCAGGCGCATTGTTCAAATAAGATTGATGATATCATATTAATCCCGAACCACCGCA